TAGGGAGGCGGGGACGAGCTGGGCCGGTTTCGGGATGCAGTCGGGGGAGGGGAGATTTTGAAGCTTTTGAAGTCCGCATTGATACCCTTGGGCTGCAGGGTTCCCAAGCGAAATATGAGATGCTGTTCCTGCAGCCTTTGGGTGGCATCATTGTGGCAATGCAGGAGGCCCAGGATGGACATGTCATCCAGAGAGTGGGAGGGGGAGTTGAAATGGTTTGCGACTGGGAGGTGCAGTTTTTTGTTGCGAACCAAGCGTAGGTGTTCCACAAAGCGGTCCCCAAGCCTCCGCTTGGTTTCCCCGATGTAGAGGAGGCCACAACAGGAACAGCGGATAGGGATGTAACACATATACACTTCATTCTGCCACTGATCTCACTGTTCAGACTCCAAGAGTATGTGACAATCTACACTTACTTTCTGCTATTTTTCACATTTGACACTAACATTATAGTTTATTTTTGAAACATTTTTACTTTACTTCCAACCTTCATCTTCAGGCAACCTTGCTTAGTAGCCACATTATTCCAGGGGGCTCATTAGTAAACTGTAGAACTGGAACAAGCCTTACATAGAAACTAGGAGCAGGGTAGTTCAGGACTTTTAAGCCTGCTTTGCCATTCAGAATGATCTTGGCTGATTGTCTTGTTTAATGCGATTGTCCTTATTTCCCACAGACCCCTTGATGCCTTTAATACCAAAAAATTATCACTCTCTTGAAAATATTCAGTGACTCCATGGTCTTCTCATAGAGTCATCAAGTCCTACAGCACGGAGACAGACCCTTCTGCCTAAACTGGTCCATGCCGACCGAAATGCCCATCCACGCCAGCCCCATTTCCCTCCACTTGCCCCATATCCTTCAAAACCTTTCCTATCCATGTATTTGTCCAAATGCATTTTAAATGTTGTTAATGTACCCGCCTCAACCACTTCCGCTGACAGCTCATTCCATATGTGTACCATCCTCTGTGTAAAAAAGTTGCTCCTCAGGTTCTCATGTATTCTTTCTAGTCCTTGATTTCCCAACCCTGGGAAAAAGACTGAGTGCATTCATCCTATCCATGCCTGAAATGATCTTATACACTTTTATAAGATCCTCCCCTCAGTCTCCTACGCTGTAAAGAAAGAAGTCCTAGCTTGTCCAACCTATCCCTGTAACTCAGTCCCTTGAGTCCTGGCAACATCCTCGTAAATTTCTTCTGTATTCTTTCCAGTTTAATAACATCCTTCCTATAGCAAGGTGACCAAAACTGAACACAATTCTCCAAGTGCAGCCTCACCAAAGTACTGTACAACTGCAACATAACTTCCAACTTCTATACGCGATGCCTGACTGATGAACGCCAGTGCACCAAAAGCCTTCTTCACTGCCCCATCTACCTGTGACTCCACTTTCAGAGAACTGTGCACCTGAACTCCAACGCCCTACCATTCACTGTGAAAGTCCTACCTTGATTTGACTATCCAAAACGCCACACCTCACACATTTATATTAAATTCCATTTGCTATTTCTCAGCCCACTTCCCCACCTGATCAAGATCCTACTGCAATTTCTGATAACTTTCCTCACTGTCCACGATACCACCTATTTTGGTGTCATTTGCAAACTTATTAATCATGCCTTGTACATTCTCACCCAAGTCATTGATATAGATAAAAAAACAGCAATGGGCCCAGCATCGACCCCTGACGTACACCACTAGTCACAGGCCTCCAGTCCGACTAGCATCCTTCCATTATTATTCTCTGCTTATTACCATCAAGCCATTTGTGTATCCAATTTGGCAGCTGTCCCTGGATTCCATGCAATCTAACCTTCCAGAGCAGCCTACCATGTGGAACCTTATCAAAGGCCTTACTGAAATCCATATGGATGATGTCTACTGCCCTGCCCTCATCAACCTTCATGGTCACTTCATCAAAAAACTCTAAATGATTTGTGAGGCATGATCTCCCAGGCAAGAAGCCGTGCTGACTACACCTAATCAAACCCTGTCTTTCCAAATGCATGTATTTCTTATCCCTCAGAATCTTCTCAAGTAATTTACCTACCACATATATTAAGCTCACCAGTCTATAGTTCCCAGGTTTTGCTTTGCAACCCTTCTTGAGTAAGGATACAACATTCGCTACCCTCCAGTCTTCTTCTGTGGTGGAAAATTCCATAGATTCTCTACCCTTTGACTGAAGATTCTTTTCACATCTCAATGCTAAATGTAAGTTCTATCCCCTATCCTGAGATTGACCCCTGATTCTAGACTCCCCAGCCAGGGAAAACATCTTCTCTGCACCTAGTCTGTTCAGCCCTATTGGAATTTGTTTGTTTCAGTCAGATCCCCTCTCATCTGTCTCGACTTTACTGAATATAGGCCAGTTGAACCAATCTCTCCTCATAGGACATTCCTGCCATCCCCCGTATCTGCCTAGTGAACTCCCTTTATGGCAACAGTACTCCAGGTGTGATCTTACCAAGGCCCTGTATAACTGCAGTAAGACATCCCTATTTCTGAACTCGAATCCCCTTGCCATGAAGGCCAACATACCATTTCCTTCCTAATTGCTTGCCACTCCCACCTGTCTGCATTCATTGACTGGTGTACAAGGACACACAGATCCCCAAATTCCCCAATATATTGCCATGTAAATAATGCTCTACCCTTGTGTTTCACACACTTAATTATATAATTACACATTCAGCCACATTGTACCTCATGTGCAATGTATTTGACTACTCTTTAAACTTGTCTAAATCATGTTGAAGCATCTTCAAAATCATAGAATTCCTACAGTGTGGAAGCAGGCCATTCAACCCATCGAGTCCACACCGATCCTGTGAAGAGCATCCCACCCAAAACCACCCCCCCACCCTATCCCTCTAACCCTGCATTTCCCATGGCTAATCCACCTAGCCTACACATCACTGGGCACTATAGTAAATTTGGAATTGCCAATCTACCTAACCTGTACATTTTTGGACTGTGGGAAGAAATTAGAGCACCCGGAGGAAACCCACACAGACACGGGGAGGATGTGCAAACTCCACACAGACAGTCACCCAAGGTTGAAATCGAATCCAGGTCCCTGCTACTGTGAGGCAGCAGTGCTAACCACTGAATCACTGTGCCACCTGTTTGCTTTCTCCTCACAACTCTCAATCCTACCCATTTCTGTATCATCAACAAACTTGTAAATGTTGCATTTGGTTTCCTCACCCAAGTCGTGTGGAGTGTATATTTATAGTGAATAGTTGGGACCAAGCACTGATCCTTGCAGTCCACCACTAGTCACTGCCTGCCACCTGGACTGAGACCCATTTATTCACACGCTGTTTCCTGTCTATCAACTAGTTTTCAGTCCATGCTAATATACACTGTCAATCTTGTGTGCTTTAGTTTTGCACACCAACCACTTATATGGGATCTCATCAAAAACTTTTTGAAAATCCAAATTCAGCACACACTTTTATGTTTATTTCTGGATTTAGATATTACCAGCAAGCACTTCTTAACCCTAACAACCATAGATTTGGTCTTTCCATTTTGGGTCTCAAGCGAATGCCCATCACCTGCATACAACAGCTGCTACTGCTGCTGCTTATAGTGACTCTTGTCAGGAAATCTGTTCTCCTGGTTTATGATGCTCATCTGTCATGGACCATGATCATACATCCACTGTAGCTCATCTGCAGTCACTATGTAACATTTACCAGCCAACTTTGCCTAGATTGACCATTCTTTCTTGCTGCCCTCCATTTGCCTTTTAGCAGAGATCTCTGTAGCTCTTCATCCCTGATCAAATGGCTGAAATACTGACATTTTCATTCCTGAATGTCACTTTTTAAGAGTTGTTTTTGATCTTGCAATTTCAAGTTATAATTTAGCACTATTGATATAAATTAACACAATACACAAGTACGATTCATTTTTTCTTATCCATAATCTTGGTGTGAAGCAGAGATGAGAATTGCTGTTATCTTTTGTCCGTTGTACAGTTCACTATGAGTGAAACAGCTCTAATATTTTATGTTTAACACAGACCATTCATATAGTTGCTATCGCCTTACTGCTAACTGACAATAATCTATATTATGCATTAAAATAAAATCTAAAATGAATTTCCATATTCACTATAGTTCACAATTTCCTTAACCACCAAGTTTTAAACTGATAGAAGTAGCAGGATGTTTATTTGTGAATCATGACTATCTTAGCCCATATATTCTTAAAAGTAATTTGTGGAATAAAATGTAAAAGAAAAAATTAAACTGAAGGAAATCAAGGCTTTTGAATTTGGTCCAATTGAAACGATGCAAAGTTCAGAATATGTTTTGGACTAAGTTATTTCAGTATAGTCCCATAAGTTGCAAGGTGGATCAGCTGTTCGAATAAATGCATGTTCACATAGCACCAAACGGAAATCTCTCTAAGAATTGAAATAATCATCCTCTAGATTGATAGGATTTACATGGACTAATTTTTATTATACAGTCTAATGTTTCTCTAAAATATAAGATAGCGATAGTTCATTTCAGAGAATGGGTGGTTGAAAGCATGCTTTGTGTCTGATTTGAATGGGTAGTGATGCATACCATGTGTAAACACTGACAAACTATAATTAGTTTCTTAGTGTACCCATATGTGCATGTTAAAGTTATTTTCATGAGATTTGTAGTGTTATAAATTTTACTTCAATTTAGTAATATGTAAATATTTTAAATGTACATTCAAAGGCAAACAAATATTCTTTTAAATACAATGTTATGTTTGAGAACTAAAGCATTGTTCATTTCTCAAAAAAATACTTGAAGGCAAATTTTCCATTTCATAAAATATTGTGGTTTCTATTTGAATGAAGTGAAGAATGATTATTTTGAAGTAACAGATGCATGTTTTATTTTAAATGGCATGATATCAAAGGCAATGTAGAACATATAGCTGTTTAACTGATGGCAGTAAATATTTTGGCTTAATTGATTTTGGTTTTATTCACATCAATAGCAGTCCTCCTTATGATACTTTGACCAGATTCCCCAGAGCTTCAGCTCCTCCAAAGCTCTCTGGTTGGTGAGATACTCCTGGGTTGTTAAGGTACTAGATATACTATATTTTTCTCTTTTTGTTCAAAAGGAAATTACGGAATAGCATCACATAGAAAGAAAGGAAGTTGCCATACAACCTTTAGTGACCTCAAGATGCCCCAAAGCACTTCAGAACCAATTGAATGTTTTAAATGTAGGAGTTCTTGTAATATAGGAATCATGACAGCAAACCTTCATAAACAGCAAGGCAATAACGACCAGATAATCTGATTTTAGTGATGTTGATTTTTAGGTAAATATTAATCAAGGCATTGTGGGTTAATCACTATTCGTCCGCAAAATACCTGTAATACAATAGATTCTTTTATGCATATTTGAGAAGGCAGATGGAGCCTTGGCTTAACATTGCATTCAAAAGGTGATACCCATAATAGTAAGGTTACACCTTGCAGTACTCCTTCAGTAATGCACTGGTCTGTCAGCTGAGACCTTTTTGCTCAAGACATGAAACTTGATTCCAGTCTTCAATTTGGAGTCAAGAGTGCTACCCATTGAACCACAATTAATTTGAAAATTGAAATATTATTTCATTGAATGATCTAAGCAACAAAACTATTTATTAAAACTCCCTTAATCTGATCAATAATAGCTCTGTTCATCTTCAGTTATAGAAACAGAGATAGGTAATATAGTCGCTTGAGCTTGTTCCACCATCCAATGAGATCACAATTCATCTCTGCCCAAACCCTATTTACTTAAATTTGTTCCATATTCAATAGCAATGTAATAAAAATAGATTTCAGTCCAAAAAACCTCAATGACCCAGCATCCAGAGACTTTTGAGGGATAGAGTTTCCATTGCCATCCGTGTGAAAATGTACACCCTCATTTCACATTTGAATGACTTGCATTGTTTTGAAATCCCTCACCGGAGGAAATAGCTTTCCTGTCATTTTTACATCAAATGCTGTTATAATTTTACACACCTCAGTGAAATTACCACTCAATCTTATAGACCAATGGAAGTAGAATCCTTTATCAAAGTTTGACAGAAGGAGTGTTATGTGGGGAAATATGAAGTTGTTCATTTTGGCAGGAAGATCAGAAAGGTAGGAACATAGGAGAGGAGTAGGCCATTCAGTCCCTCAAACCTGCTTCCCCCGTTCAGTGGGATCATGCGTGCTCATCCACTTCAATTACTTTTTCTTAATCATCCTATATCCCTTTTCATTAATGATATTTAGAGTTTGGTACATCACCTCTTTAAGCATACTCAATGACTGAGCTTCCCTAGCTCTCTGAATTAGAGATATCTGAAGATTTACAATGCTCTGAGTAAAAGAAATTCTCCTGATCTCAGTCCTAAGTGGCTTTCCCTTTATTTTGAAATGTTTCTCCTGGTTCTAGATTCCCCAACCAGTGAAAACATTTTACCTGCGTCCACCTTATTTTTTTTCCTTTGAATATGTTCAAGTTTTAGTACGATCACCTTGCATTCTTTGAAATTCTAGAGTGCGTCACTTAGTCCTTCGCGCCTACTCTGCTATTCAATAGGATCATGGCTGATCTGATTTTAACCTCAAATCTACATTCCTGCACGCCTTCAATCTTTCATACCCCTGATAATCAAGAACCTGTCTACCTCTGCCTTAAAAATATTTAAAGATTTTGTATTCACTATTTTTGGAGGAAGGGCATTCCAAAGACTTGCAAACCTCTGAGAGAAGGAATGGGCGACCCTATATTTTTAAACCATGAACCTTAGTTCAATTCTACTACAACAGGAAACATCCTTTCCACATCTACCTGATCAAACCCCCTCAGAATTGTATACGTTTTGATTAAGTTACCCTCGATTCATCCAAACTCCAGATTGTACAGGCCTCGCTTATCTAACCTTTTGCTCATAAGGGAAAATGTTTATTTCAGGTATTGATCTAGTAAGCTTTTGCTGAACTGTTCCCAATGCATTAACATCCTTCTGTAAGTAGAGTGACCAGTATCCTACACAGTACTCCAGATTTGGTCTCAGCAATGCCCTATAAACCTCCATATTCTTGCATTCCATTCTTCTTGCAATAAAATATAATGTTCCATTAGCTTTCATCACAGTTGGCCAGCAACATGCATTCAGGGTTTCCTACAGGCCACTTTGGGAGGTACTGGATGTTTGTTGGGCAGTTGGGCAGAGAGGGGGGAAGAGTTTCTTGCTTTGTTCAAAGTTCCCTAAAGATTTAAAATAAAACCTATTTTACTTCAAACGAATTTGAAGTAGAATATTTAATCTTAAAGTAGTTCATCGCTTTTGCAAATGTCATTCCTATTATTTAAGGCAGCAACAATGGAAAAGCCAGATACAGCATTTCTAATGTCAGTTGTCAGGAGTATTACTGGAATCTACTAGGGAGCATCTGAACAAATCTGAGGCAATCAAAAAGTTAGTATGAATTTGTAAGAGCAGATTGTGGCTATAATCCAGCCAAGTTTTATAAAGAGGTCAACAAAATGGACAAAGGAGTCTTTGATTGTTATCTGAATAGATTTTCAGAAGCAATTTGGAAAAGTGCCACACAAGACATTGATAGGCAGGCAGCCCACACAGGAGGTCCCATGGATACCAAATCCAAGTAAGTCTGGGTGCTTTGTCAAATCTTCAGGGGAGGCAAGGCGGATGGTGGGTGGGTTTTAAACAGGAGGGAAGAGAGCGTGATATCCTCTCTGGGGTGCACCTAGTGAACATGGAGTTCCATGCAATGATAGTGTCTCCCTTCATCTGGAGTCTGAAGCACTTAAAAGAAATCTGGAATCCCAATCCCACCTGTGTTTTAGTATCAGCAGTTTAACGTTGAAGTTAATTGAGCTTTTAACAAGTCCAGTTGTTCAACTGAGCTGAATTATTTAAGTGCAAGTGATGGGTAGACTGTTGAGTTAGATCCCTCTCGCCCTCTAGATTACGGTGGTGAGCTCAGGAATGGGTCGAAAGGTGGTAGACTCACCACCCAGCTTATTTGATATGGTGTCCTACCCAAAACACACTCCTGAAGGCCATGTTATATCCAGCCATTGTTTTTCTCAGCAACATCCTTAAGTTTTAGGTTGAAGAGCTGCAAGATTATCCTTAATCAAAACAATTGAAGATTCTTCATGCATAAGAACATAAAAACTAGGAGCAGGAATTGGCAATTCAGCTCCTTGAGCCTGCTCCACCATAAGTAACAACTTGTAAACTTTTCACTGTACTCATATGACTACATGTGACAATTAAGCTAATTCTAACTCTAATTCTAATTCATTGTGCCTGTGGTTGATCTCACCTTGGTCTCAATTCCACCTTCCTGTTGCTCTCCATAACCCTTCAACCCATTATTAATAAAATAATCTATCTCCTTCTTAAAGTTATTCAGTGTACCCAGTTCCACTACATCTGGGGTAGTAAATTTCATAGTTTCATGACCCTTTAACAGAAATAATTTCTTTTTATCTCTGTTTTAAATCTGCCATCCCCTTAGTCTAAATCTATGATTTCTAGATTGCCCCACAAGGGAAACAAATTGCTCTACATCTGCCTCGTCAAACCCCTTTAGCAACTTGTATACCTCAATTAGATCTCCTCTCATCCTTCCAAATGCTAGCGAGCATTAACCTAAACTGCTCAAACTCTCTTCATAAATCAAGCCTTTTGTTTCGGGAGTTAATCTAGTGAACATTCACTGAATTGCCTCCAATACAATTATATCCTTCCTTCCTGCAGAACTTTTCCAAAAAGACCAGTGGATGAGGATCAGTGTAAAATAATGCCACTCCTTGATTATCCATAACAAATACTTTTAATTATTTTCTTCTCAATTGTGGAGTAGTTTTGCTGATATGTATTAAGTTTTCTCGAGAAATGGAACACTGAATGTTTTGGAGCAACATTGCTCCTACACCTACATCACTGATATCAGTAGCTATGTTGAAGGATTTGTTGAAATTTAGAGCAGCCAAAACACATGTCCAATTCCTAAAAACTGGTCTGACAAAACTCTGCCTGCTTAAAATGTACATTTTTCTTCAACTAGTTTGTTAAAGTCAAACTTCAGGCAGAACCTATACAGTTTTGAGGACCCATAATCTTTCCTGTTTTGTTTTGGGGACAGGAAAGTCCATAATTGCTTTAACTTTAGCTTTTCTGGGCAATAAATAGAACATGGAACGTAGAACTGTACAGCACAGTACAGGCCCTTCGGCCCCCGATGTTGTGCCGAACTTTTACCCTAAACCTAAGGTCTATCTGACCTCCTCCCCTACCTTATACTAACATCCATATGCCTATCTAATAACCGCTTAAATGCCCCTAATGAGGCTAAGTCCACTACCCTCTCCGACAATGCATTCCACACCCCTACCACTCTCTGAGTAAAGAACCTACCTCTGACGTCTCCCCTATAATCTACCTCCACTCACCTTAAAATTATGCCCCCTCGTAATAGTTACCTCCACCCTAGGAAAAAGTCTCTGGCTATCCACTCTATCTATACCTCTGATCATTTTGTATACCTCTATCAAGTCACCTCTCATCCTTCGTCGTTCTAAAGAGAAAAGCCCTAGCTCTCGCAACCTTTCCTCGTAAAACCTTCCCTCCATTCCAGGCAACATCCTGGTAAATCTCCTCTGCACCTTTTCCAACGCTTCCACATCTTTCCTGTAATGAGGCGACCAGAACTGGACACAATACTCCAGATGTGGCCGAGCCAGCATTTTGTATAGCTGAAGCATAACTTCATGGCTCTTGAACTCAATCCCTGTATTAATACTTGATCTTCCATAAACAACATGTCCCAAGTAGATGATTTTGGATTTGGCAAATTCACGTTTTGCTAAATTTACCTTCAAATCAACTTTTGTACATAATATAATTGTGTAATTTTGGTTTATGAACCTTTGTAAGGTAACTGGTGCATTATTCATTCCAAATGGCATAATCTTACATTCTGTAGGCCATCTGGGATTATGAAAGCAGACTTTACTTTAGCTAGAATTTGCTATTTACCTTTTAGAAAAATTGAT